ACTCATAGAGGATTACTGGCAAATTTGTACTCGTAAACTGGATTACTCGCAAGAGTGTTTACTCGTAAAACTTACGGCGGCAATGTACTCGTACACGGGTCACAAATTTGCTCGTGACAATGTGCCAATCTCAGGGGGGATGTTTAGGGGGATGTTCATGTGGATGTTTGTCCTTAGAATCATCCCCTGTATTCTAAACCACCAGGCAGACACGGGCCATATCAACCCTAAACCCTAAGCCTAAGCCCTAAACCCTAAACCCTAAACCCTCTGGCCACCTGATGTGATGCATAAGAACTTCGCCGAGAGGCTGGGCCATTCCTCGCTACCGGCGCCAAGCCATGGCTTGGCCCAGGCTATACGATGCATCCACGCACCGAACACTCCGAAAACACATAGCCCAAAGCCCTGTCCCCGGTTCCGGGGTTGGGCACCGGCTTGTGTGCTGAAGCTTAACAAGCTTAACAACAACTAACGCTTAGAACGGTGTTGTGCTTCAAGAGCTGTGTATAGTGCCTATAAGGATTCTAGGGCTTGTCCTGCCGGTCGGATGTATCTTGTTCTTGCCTGGCACGCGGGATGCTCGAATTCGTCTGGCAAGTGTGTAGCAAAGAATACATCACTTTCTCAAGCCGTACACAGCTTCCTTAGCCGGGACCTCACTTGAGGAGTCTCGGTTGTCTAAACTTAGCACACTTGCCAAAGCCTACGCAATGCAGGGACGGCACAGCTGGAAGCTCGTTGAATCTTAGGATGCTAAGTTTGGGAGGGCTTTGATTCCGATGTGTAGCTGTTGAGGCCGGTGGGAAACTTGTGTGAAATACAAAAACTTAGGGGCTGAGTACCCTAGCCCAAAAAAGGTTAACCTTTTGAATTATAGTAGGATTATAAGAGCCCCAAAAGGTTAAAGGTTACCTACTCAGCCACTAAGAAAAATGATGGGTAATCTGGTCGGAGTGCTGGTCAGGCCCGGAAATGCTTGTGACAGTATTCCGGTGTCGCCCGCACTGACAATCACCCAAAACTGAAACAGGCGGCAGCTAACAAAAACTCATACTCAACAAACACCCATGAGCCTGGAACTATGAAGAAAAGCTAAGCTTGAATTGTTAACGTGTTAGACAGCCTCGTGTGCTCTGCCGTCCATGCTTTGGTCGGGCGTTGTGAAACTGTGCACCCTGGGCACGTTTTTGCGCCGGAACTGCAAAAAAAACGATTCGAGCAGTCGGTGAAGAACTAAGGCCTGAGGTTTACGGCAAAAAGGTTGAGGGATGCAACAAACCAAATTACCAACTACACCATGGTTCATCCTCGCACCCTTCTTGGACAGGGACTCTTCTTGGCTGTTGGGGTGTTTGGGCCCTGGCCACCTGCAGGACACTTATAATGATCTCAATGCCATGCAGAGGGCATTGTGCTCTTGGGCACAGCAAGCAACGATTTGGTGTTCCTCGAGCAGGTGGTATCACGTGGTTAACAGCTTCGAGCTTGCGTGCATGTCTCTGTCGATGCACAGAATTGGAAAACCATGAGGTCTCGACATAGTATAGTATTACGGCTGATTACAGATTATAATAACGCTGCAGTATAGCCAAAGTGTCGCACTTGGGCCTCGAATTTAATGGGCCGGGGAAACTGCGTTGCATGTACATGAACATTTGGCCCTGCACCCAAAAAAGCATGCACGGCAAGCAAGTGCCAAAAACCAATTACACGTGGAGTGATGGTGCGATACACACACATGAACACCCGCCTCTGTTTCAGGACTATAAAGTTTAAGCTCGGAAGTGAGTGACGAGAAACGTTTCCAACCTCAAATCTTTTTGCTCAGCCACGCTGGAGTTGAGAAAGTCGATCGAAAAAAGTCCTGGGACATGCTAAACCGTAAACCCTGAACCCTACAATGCCCTACAAGCCAAAACCCCAAAACTCTAAAAAGCCCTAAACGCCCAAACCGAAAACCCTCACCATCCCCCAAAGCCCAAAGCGTAAACACTCGCATACCCTGGTACTCCTAGACCCTCCATCTGCCCGCTATTCGACCGTAAATACCCATTGTTTGGGCCCTAAAACCCCTAAACCCCAAGCCACTAAACCCAAACCCCTACACCCCTAAAGCCCTAAAACCCTTATAAAGCCCCTAAACCCCTAAAGCCCGAAACCACTATACTCTCCCAGAGACCATCTGCCCCTGTTTGTGAACGCTGAACCTGGAACCTATTACTTAGGACCGTCTACCCCAATCTGAGGTTGCAAGGAGGGTCCTGGCTGCTTGCCCGAGGTGTTCAGTCTAACTGGTTGGGGGATCACCCGAGGTAGGGTTGGGGTCGTTAGGTCCTACCATACACCCCCCAAACCCGTATAACATGCAACCACATACATCGCGTGAAACCTTGGACATCTCACTGCGTCCAAAGGATGTTCAACGCCTCACGGCTTCCTTGGCGATACATCCGACATTCGTTGTGAGCCATCGGACTCTCAGGTTTTAGGGAAGATGCATACTATAGGCTTGAGGATGGTTCCAGGGTTCTGGCTTGCGTTGGGGGTTTCAGGGTCTAGGTTTCGAATTGAGAGTGCTATAGCGGTCAGAACTTCCGTGTCAGGCTTCCTGGAGGTACCTTCTCGATTTTTGATTCAAGACGGGGTCTTCCTTATCAGGAAAGCAGACAATCACAAGGCCCAAAACAGTCCTTGGCAGTGCGTTAGTAGGGCCACTGCAAAGCAAGCGAACCGATCTGTGAACGGGAACGCCTTCAACTCCAACACCCATAAGACTTCCTATCGAACCCTGGTTGACAGGGGTTTAGGATTTAGGGTCTTGACTCCTGAAGAGCCCGTGTAGCAGGACAGAACGCGTATAGAATCCTCTAAGAACCCCAAGCCCAAGAGAATCCTTCAACACTTGGCGGAACCCTTAAGAAGCCCTTAAAGGAACCCGCAAAGGCTCGGGCTATAGGGCTTTCGGCTTTGAATTATTGGGGCATACAGTAAGGGCAGTGTAAGGTTTAATTAAGGTTTAGAGCTTCAGCGCTCACACTCGGACAGATCCTAAACACCAAACCTGGTCCGCTCCTCGTGCCACACATATGCGACAAGAGCCCTGCCTGGCGCTGGGCCGAAACGAAATCCACGCGAGGAGGCGACACGAGGAAACGGAGCATCTTTGAAATGAGCAAAAGACGGGGTTCTAGTGTGGCTGTCCAGTGCGAGGTCTATCGCGACTGCTCTCACTGTCACGGTATATTCTTGCTACTAGACAGGCCATTCGCAGCATCATTTGTATCATGAGACTCTCGGTCATAGTTCACCATTTCTGGTTTTGCAAATGCAAGACTGTTCGTATTTGCAGCCAGCCCCAGGCCCCCGCATCCAAAACCCCTTACCTCAACCCCGCAGCCAAATATGTTGCCTGCGGGCCCTTGAATGCCGAACACACACCGCAGTATCCTACATCTAAAGCCTACACCCTACACCTGCAGGGGTTTAAGTCTCATGGGTCCATGCGCACCGGTGCACCCTTATATTACCTCTTTATTGCAGCCCTTATAGCACCTGTTTATAGTAACCCTTAAACCCTAAACCCTAAACCCTAATTGTAGTACCTTTGTAGTTCAAGGCTCCAGGCGTGCACTGCCGTGACGAAGGCCTGGACCAGCTCCGGGCCTAGGCAGCTCTGAGGGTTGCTCTAAAGTGCTTCTCTAATGGTTTAGGGCTTAGGGTTTAGGTCTAGTGGTTACGGTAAAGAGGTACTATGAGGGTTTCTAAAAAAGATACTACAAGGGTTAACTGTAAAAGGTAGTATAAGTGCTTCTGGACGGGTTACCATGACAAGGTACAAAAATGGTAAGGGTTGCTATGCAGGGTTCTTTTCCGTTGATTTCGAATTTCGGGCTGCTAGTGGGTTTCGGGGGATTCGGTTCGGTGCTGGACAAAAAGTACTCGACATTCGGGAGGTGTGGCTCCGAAACGATGTGATCGGAGAGTCTTTTGACTTTGTCAACTTAGTTAGCATCCCGTTTACCTGTCATTATGACAAAAAATGGCACCAGTGACAAAAGTTACCCCACAACCTATGGCCTGTAAAGGGAAAACAACCTCAATATAGGGGTGTTGCTATTAAGAACGCAGTTTTGTGGATTCTTGCTTGTATACGAACAGGAATCTAGGGACAAATATTGGTAATTATCTCCTGGCTTCCATTTCATGGCACCTCAAAAGTCAGTGAACTTTATACGCCCCAAAAGTCTGGGCATCCCTGCTCTCCTTGCCATTGAGACCTTCACCAAGGTTCGCGATGAGCCTGGGCAGGGGCATCTCCGACTTATAGGGCTGGAGGGTTCAGACTTTAGGGTTTACACTCGAGTTGCCAGGTTGTAGGTTCTACGATGTAACCCAGTATCCCACTATTGGGGTGCATGGGGCCCTTGGAAGTTTCAGTTTGGGGATCATCGTTGTAGATTGGAGCGTGTCCCAAAGGGCCTGCAAAGCAAGACGAAAGCACTCCACAGAGCGATGATGCCTGATCCCAAGGGGGAAGCGTAGCAATGAGCGAAAGTGCGCGAAAGTTCAGGTGCTGAAGTGCCAGTACATCTGCATAACGTGCATAAGGCACACACACAATGCCCGTGCCTATAAGTTGTTGATACTTATGCCCCATTCCAGCACGGGAGCCCGTGTTTGTGGATGCAACTATAGATGTTGCGGAACACGATGCCTGGACTCCTAGACCCTGGAACGCAGCCTTGGCCCATCTGGGTCCAACTTGGAGAGCATGGCCTCTCCAATCACGGCTTTAGTGCGCATTCTTGCATATACATATGTGGTTGTGGAATTTTCACAGTGGTTTCTACGACGGGGTTCTACGACTTTTGCGGTGTGACGAAAGCGTTGTGCTCTCAATCCGTGTCATCTAGGAAGCAACGCGCAATTTCCGGGGCAGGGTAGTAAGGTGACCCTGAGCGTTACGCCAAAGCCTAAACATGCCTAAACCCTTAAACCCTATAAACCCTAGACCCTAAACCCTATAAACCCTGAACCCTGACCTTTTGGGTTTGTTCACAACTCGGCAGAACCAGCTGAGGCTCTGAGGCAGCTTCTGGGTTTGGGGTTTGTGGTTTTTCGAATTTTACACGTGCAGGTTTATAGGGCTTAGTTAGCGTGAAAAAGTTTAGGGTGCAGAGGAGGGGAGGTTTGGGGAAGGGGGGAAAGCCTGGACAGGCCAGCAGCCGGAATCATCAAACTTCATATGCTGAACAAGGAAGACCAAGCCGCAGTTGTCCACTTTCAGTTGGTGGATCTGGTCGACTTCCACTGTGCTTGATTCCCCTGAAAGCTTTGAAACATGCTTTGCTTCATCTGGGCTACTTCCAGACTTCTCTGGACCTTCAGCATCGTCACAGACATGTGGGAACCCGGGTAGACAGGCATTTGGTGTGAGACAATCCTCTACAGAGCTGCACACAGAAGTATCCCAAAGCTTGGGTTTGAGTTTCGCCGTTCTGGAAGTACTTCCTGCAATGAAAGGACACACTGAAGTAGAGGAGAAATCCAAGTTCAAGGAACTCCATGCTCTTCACGCTCTGCAGCACGTTCCTGAACACGCCCCTCGACCAATGTTAGTGCCCGGGGGAAGAAATGTGATCGGGAGTTTGTGGCTGTTTTGGCCTCAGGATGTACGGTTCTCCTTGAACCCATGCGTCGATGGAGAAATTTTTGTCATCCACCACAGCACTTTCGTCCTGTCGTCTGTGCATGACCCCTGAATCCCTGCCCTCAAATCGCTGTGCTCGGCGTGTTTCGGCGTGTCAATGAAGCGCCCAGCCCGCCGGCAGTTCCACACACCGGTGCCACTGAGCCACCACGTCTAAATCCAAGGGCACTAACATCTAGGTTTGCCAGTAGTCCTCTAATAATAAGAGTATACGGGTACCCTTATTCCTACTATTCGGTTTGAATAAGGGAACCCCCAAAAACAGGCAAAAGGGCACTACTGGGGAACCAATAATTAAAGGGCTTAGAGACATAATTGGGTCCCTTTTCCGGTCCCCAACATAGTACGGCACCCTTATGACAAAGGACCCCAACAGGGATCCCAATGTAGGGAAATACCCATAAGACACTCGTCTAAATGCTGGTAACCAGAAAGGAAACCCGGGCTTCCCTCTAACCATTGCTATACTTGAAAGACCAAGGGACGGGGTTTAGGGTTTAAGGGTTTAGGGTTTATAGGGTTGATAGGGGTTTAGAATGGGATCAAGGGGCTTTACATAGGGGCCTTTGTGCTTAGAATAGGGTTGTGGGGGGTATCTTATACTACGATGATAATAAGGAACCCCCCACAACAGGCTTGGTATTTTGTAGAACCCTATATTGGAAGAAGGCTTCGGCTTGGGGTTTAGAGTCTATAGGTCTTTCTAACTGTAGCCCCTCAGGCCAAAAAGACTATGCCTTGATTGTGGCCATGAGCCCCAAAATATGCAGGCCTTGACTTCACGCTTCACCTCGGCGTCAGCAGACAAGACCATGCGTCGAGAATTTAGGACGTGGGGCCGATTTTCATTCCTTTCAGCTTTCGACACCGTTTTTTTTTGTCCTTCTGTCTCTCTCGAAACCCTAAAAGACCAAGCCCGAACCTGCCCACAGGATCGGAATGAAGACTCGCAAAAACTGAGCTCAGAACCCCCCTCGCACGACCCTAGATCGCAATACCGTAGAGCCTGCAGCCCATTTCCAGAAACACCTGAATCCGAACTGTCCGGAGGTTCGGGCCCATGACTTCGGGTTTAGGACCTTCACGATCTGACTGGGATTACTAGGTACTATAAGGTTCTAGGATTAGACTCGACCTGAGTTTGGAACTTGTCTGCAGAGGCCGGGGGGGTGGACTGATTCAGGGCATTCCAAGAGGAACAGGCAAATCTATTAACCAAGTCTGTCACTGAAGTACTGCTTCCAGTATATACTAAGGACTGTACCCGCCCGAAAGCATACTACTGTCGGATTGTGCCCACCTCGCCTCACCCACCCAACCTGCATAGCTTCCAAGCATGGCTATCAATGTATGCCCGCTGTTGTATCAAGCAGCCGAAACTGAACCCGAAAAACCCGACTAAGTCACCAACACCAATTGCGCACCCGCCCCCTTGATTCGAATTTGCTGCTGCCATTTTGCATGCGCATGGCACCGGTCAGAGCGAGAAGTCTTTGACTTTGTCTCACAGAAAAGGAGGGGCCTCTGATTTGCACACTTCCACATGGGAGCCATTGTCGTTGCTACATGTCTTGTGGCCAACTCCCCGCGAGAACGGAAGTCCATCTGAGGCTTCGGTTGTCATTTCAGCCACTGAGTATTGTCATTCAAAGGCTCGGATGACAGGGTGCTGCGACTTAGGGTCCTGACTGTGAGCCCCTCCTCTTGCCCTTTGACTGACGGCACTGCTATCAGTGCTCCCTGCTTTTCAGCATTATCGCGGCTGAGTGGGTAGACGCAGCCGTTCTTCTGACAGAGGTGTCCTTCCACAGTCCGAAAGCTACACTCTAGTTGGTGGACGCCATTCTACACTCAACTGCCACTGCTCGAAGTACCGTTGGAGCTTGATGCAGACCTCCAGAGTTACCCTAAATCCTATTAAGGAGACCTGCTTTGCACGGCTTTCGGCGTAAGGCTTGGGATGTATGTCTGGGCTGGACTATACTGCGCTCACCGAAACCAAGATATCAGAAATGCCGACTAGAGCGCTAGATATAGGGGCCGTAGTAATTAGAATAGGGTTTTGGGGCCCATTACACGATAGTTATGCAGGAACCATCGAAAATATAGGCAATTATTGAGGCACCTATATTACTCACGACGTCCTCGAGCCCAGTAAGAAGGCCTCGCGTGGTGCCCGCTACACCCAAGAACTCAACGCAACAATGAGCCCCAGCTTGCTGATGGTAACATCCCGTAGCTATAGGTGAATTCCACGAAGGTATAACACTAATGGTCCAAGTAATTACCTGATACTCATAATAGCAGATGCCGAGTTGTTGGGTACTCTGGGCTTCGTATGATAGGTCGTGATAAGCAGGTGTAGAACAAGCCTACATGGAAGACTTGTAGCTCTACAGCAACCCGCGTACTACTTCCCCCAGGCCGTGGGCTTGGCTTCAGAGCTTTAGTCTCGAGGGCCCCAAGCCCTAAGCCAATAAGAACCCAAGTCCTAAAACCCCCAAACCCAGAAACACCCCTTGCTGAATCTGTTTTCTCGGAACCTCTCAAATAGTATTGGTATTTGTAACGATCTAGGCCCCTACATGAAGCCCTTAACCCCAGTGTGGAATTTATTGCCTCAGAACGTCTCCGCCAGAGCTTTGCCGCACGAGCCGGGCCGTTCTCTCTCGGGGAGCGGGGCCGCTTATGGCTCGCCAGACAGAGATCTAAACCTCCCGGAGGCTCCCAGGTTTTGGGCCATTGGGCTTAGGGCTTATAGGGCTGAGGGTTTATAGGGCTTAGGGTTTATAGGCCTTAGGGCTTATAGGGTTTAGGGTTTGGGGTTTATAGGGCTTAGGGTTTAGGCCTTAGGGCTTATAGGGTTTAGGGTTTAGAGTTTATAGGGCTTATAGGGCTTATAGGGCTTCGGGTTTAGGGAATCTAAAGTGTTTACAGGATGTGCACAGAAAAAAGATCATCTTATTCTACTCAACACATGTCAAAACATGCGCAACCGAGTAGCCTCTGGGCTGTGCCTTTACTGGTAGTACTGTATAATGTAGAAAACAAGTGCAGTATAGTCTTAGTATCATTTAGCCTGAAGCAAAACATAGAGTATACTGGATGCACCACGGCCAGAACCGGCCATGAGATTTGATGTAACTGATCTAGTTTTTTAAGCATCAAGAGGCCTGCGACACAGAATCCTGCCTTCACCCTGGGCCAGGTGCCAAGGGCACCTCACTCATCATCACTGTCATCCAGCCTCAGCCGCTCCCAGCGTGGACCCGAAAGCCCCCCGACAACAGGACTTTGGGTTTCAGAGCACAGCAATTCAGTCCTTAAGGCCTGAGCCTTAGAGGTGAGATTCTTGCAAGGTACTATAGGGTCTGAAGCTTGTAGTCCCCATACTATTAGCATCTCGCCCTTTTTGCACAGGTTTGCGTTAATCCCGCCTGGACGTGTCGCACCCGTTCTCCGAACAAGGCCAAACACAGAAAGAAATCACCAACTTAGATAACGCAAGTATGAGCATCTCGCCCTAAACCCTATACCCTGTGCCCGATACGATTCTATATCACAGCCCTTGTATTCTAGGGCTTAGCGGCTTCGCCTGCCGGGTGAAGAGGCCTGTGTTTTGGAGAAAGGCTTCGGGCGTAGGCGTGCCTCTAAAGCATGTTGCGCGAAAAAAACTGTTTGGGGTTTAGGGATGCGATCTGATCTAATTCGTGGACATAGGGTTTAGTTGAGGCTGTGTGGTGAGAACCTCCTGATAGCAACTGATAGTTTCGCTCTGGTTTGACATTGATAGTAGGGCAGTATGCCTGCTAGCTATAAACTGGGTACCGACAGAGCATGAACCGCGTTGTACATCAATCTCGAACAACAGGTGACAAGAACTGACAATACCATCCGTATCCAAATGCTGGATGCAAAACTTGGAAACACGAGCATCCGATTCAGATAACTCCTCAACGTGGCAGAGCATGTCGCAAAAAAGCCTGCGCGCAAGCCTGAACAGGCCCAGCGCAGCAAAATAGAACAAATCCTAAGTAATGGTTTAAGTTTCGGAACAGCACCCACTGTGTCGCTAGGTGCGTTGGGTCAGACGACCGTCAGAGACCCATGTAGGGCCTTATAACCATACCAGGAGAACGTGTATATTGAAAAGGACTGCTAATATTTACAGCCCCGCTCTTACACCTGCATCACTTGGACTGGAAGCGACTTAAAGGAGTTCACTCAGAAGTCTTAGTGTGCACGGCTACATTGAAGCCCGACTAAAGTTCTCATGAGCAGTCATGCTTTGTTGATGACCCCCGGAACACCCTCAACCCAAGACCGCAAGCAATATCCGCAGATCGACGGTATGGAGTTGACCCCCTGGTCGATCGAGCCGCCGCCTGCAGCAGTGGCAAGAGGTAGTGTTAGGGAAACCTCATTAACAAACAACCTAGGCCCTAGGCCCAGGAGAGTACCACTGCCCCACTTCAAGTCATTTCCGAAGCAGTAAAGTCAGGGCTTAGGGTAAAGGGATTGAGGTTTTGAGACTTGAGGCTGAGTCTGCACCACAAGATAGCAGAATTATGTGAGCAGAGTCACCATGTAGATGCTTGCAAGTCACGCTAGTGAGTCATCCTGTGGATACTTGCTAGTCACACAAGCAGCAACCTCACAGACCCAACAACCTGGTCCGTTGTACCTGCACCCTGCTTCGCAATGACATCTGCAAGCCATCGAACAGACCGACCAGGTTTACAGCTGCAAGTAGACCCTAGGCCCTAACCCCATTAAACCTGAAAGAGATGCCAACCAGCGAGCGACTATGCCAGCGTGTATATAGATCCCAACACCATGACGACTATGAAAACCACGAAGAGACCGCGAGGAGACCACCAGGACACCCCAGGACAACCTGCCCAGATAGAGGCATCAGGAGATTGTCCTAAGGGCTTGGGGGCCTGGGGAATACTGTTACAGTCGTATAAGACTACATGGACATAACTACATGGGATGGTATAGCTAATCAGCTAATCCTTCAGATTTCCGTACTAAATCGCAACCGCCCCCCCCCCTCTCACGCATCCTCCAGCTCGAATCAAGACCCTGAACCCCTAAAGCCCGCAAAACAAACAGCCGCCAGCTTGACACACGCACACACACACACATACACACATATACACCTTACAAAAGTGGGTCGTGAAACAATGGTCTCCAGAAAATTTACGAAAAGGTATCCCGATAAACCCGTACAGCCGCAGTCAAAGGGAAATGTGCGGTGTTCAATAGCATCCTGGACACTCATCCATGCAGGCACTCGGCTTTGGCGACGCCCGTCACTGTTTGCGTCACGTTCCAAGGCCAGTGCCTGAATGCATGCCTTCCTGTCACTCTAGTATACCCTGGTCCTGGTGGGAAGTCCTCTATCAAAGAGGCACCAAGGACCACAGATGTGTGCCGTATCTCAGAGCCCGGGTCTCCTGCACCCAGGTCGCAAGGTCCCTGTCCGGGCTTCAGAAAATCAAAGATTTGATTTGCCACAGTAATCTTGTAAATTTCTCGCTGCCCTGAACAAACCCTTAGGCAAAAACCTCGTTGCTGGAAATCTCCAGCCCAAACCCCTGCAAACCGAACCCTGAACCCAACCACAACACCCAAAACTTTCCAAACCAACCATCACTCAGTCTTACGCAAGGCAACCCCAAGCTAGAAAGAGTCAGGGGGCACGACCCGCAAAACCCTAAGGTCCGAAATCTAATAAACCAACTCTCTGCAGGTAAACCTTAAACCCCTAAACCCCTAAACCCT